CTCTAGGAATAAGAGGCTGTTGTTAGCATGAACTTAAATAATGCTAATACAGGGTGCGATTAAATGACTACAAAGAATGGGTACATGAGTTGCATTGCCTGCCTGCCTCTTAGGTGGCCAGACTGCATTAAGAAGCTTTAATTTTGTGGCTTCTTTGATACTTTGAGCAAAGTCCTGCCCTCAGACATGCACACACAACTTCCATTGAATTAATACACCTCCTGTTTATCTATCAGTGCTACATCTAACCCTTTCTCCAGTCGTAGGCTCCTCTGACAGCTCAGTGAGTGTAACATGATTCATCCTTCCCTCTCCTTCTCTTCCCTTGACTAGACACTAACAAACATAACAGAACTTGAGACAAGAGAAAGAGGCCCCTTATAATGAAAGATTCAATCACATCTTACCAAAAACAAAGGAGGGCACTAGCTAGTGCATGAAGCTGACTCCACTCTTCTAATTAAGGTACATAAATAAAAGGGAGAGAATGGCCCACATTCACCTCTAGTGTAAGCAGGTGCAGCCTCTCAGGCCTCCAGGCTAGTGTGTTTGCTCAAGGCTGAATTTAGCCTGAAAAATAAAACTGTGTATCAAACAGTTTTAAAGCACCTGAACTGTACTGCTTTTCGCTCTGACCCAAAATACACATGCATCTCTCCTCTGTGATGTAATGGTAGGAGAGTTCCTTTATGTTGTACGTACGTTTCTTTCCTCTGGGCGCACATGTTTTGTACTTGCTGTAAACCCTCACCTGTCTCCTCCACCAAATAGCAGCAACATCCCCACAAATGCTATATAATAAACCAGTCGTTCATTATGCTTGCTGTTGTCTATGTTGTGTATTGGACTGCAGTGTAAACTTGTTTGACTTTGTAAGAGAGAGCTCTAGTTGACAAGGGGAATGCGACTTCTGCTCTTAAGTGCACAGTTATAAATTACTTTTAAGAACGTCTCTAGAACTCAACTGGACTATTGACAACTCTGGGGTTCTCTTGTATTCTGCCCTGATTTACTGTGTGACTGCAAACAACCCACTTTACACATGAGATTACATATACATAGACCTAACATAAGGATAGTAAAACTAGCATATAAAGAGACAAACACCACGCAGTTTATTCACAGACTAGGAAGACCATAGTAAGGCTTTTATAGACAGTCATCAAAAAAGTGGAGTTAAAGGTGGTGAACACACAATAGATATCTGGTTTTAATGCAGATGAGATATAGCGCAACATGTGGATGAGAATGGGCAAGGGCACAAGAGGAATGAGGTAGGAATACAAATATAGCAATACTGAGTAAGTCCTACAAACAACTTCTTATTATAACAGTGGCCAGAACTACTTCCTTCAGAAAAAACTGAAAACCCCCTGCGTTCTGTGGATTTGGCACAGTCTGCCTCCCAATTAGATAGCTAAAGGCAATTTAATACAATATATTAATAATATATTACTAAATAACAGTAGTAATAAAACATATAATTATAATAAGTAAGAATTAGTTCAAGTCGGGAGTCTGGGGGAAAAAAAACCCTGAATTTGGGAAGAATGAACACTTTGAATTGGAGAATGTAAACAGAGGATGAAGCAGCAAGATGAACCAGTGGCCTGGATTTCTCAATTGGGAGAACCAAGGGATTGAAGGAAACTCCAAGAAGTCACACTGGAGCAACAGAAGAGTTTTATTAAAAGTAATAATGAATATCAGTGGAGAAAGGAGCTGAAAATTTTGCATAAATTTCTATTGAGGCCACATTAAGATGATGCCAAAGACAGAAACTAGTTTTGTATTTACTAATATAAATGAACTCATTGACCCAAAGTTGTAAGAGTTAAAAAACAAAAAAAAACCCACAAACCACCCCTGAGACTGAGAATGTATTAATAAAATATATGAAAAAAAAAAATTAGTGCAACTTCTTTGGAAAGAATGAATCACATTCTCCACAGGTAGTCCAGAACAGATCCTTCTGAAGGTGTGCACAGTACATCTGTCTTTTGAGCATTTTTATAAAAAGACAGAGCAAATCTGTGTGATGTACAACATAAGCCTGAATTTTAATAAATCTCTCATACTCTTTTATCACTAAGTAAGTACGGTGTTGCTACTCAATGCCTGATGGTGAAACAGAGAGGAAGATCTAAACAAGATTTCTTGCATATAAGATAATTTCATATTAAAAAAATAAAATCATAGCTTTCTTGCTGCATAAGATACTCCAGCAAGGAAAGGATGCCAACCAAAGCAGGAAAGGGCAGAAGACCGAACAAAGCAAGTTTCCTGTCAAAAATCAAAGCACCTCAACACTTCGATGATGAAAAGGCAAGAGACAGTACTCATAGTAAACTTGTACCCATTCTCCTAAAATGCTAACTTAATGTATTAGAGTACTTATTCAGACAAAGAGCATAGATCAAGTTTTGCCTTCTGACACATCAAGAAAATTGTGTTGACTGATGGAAACATTTGGTCTCAAATCAACAAATCAGCATAAAAGTGTGGGGCCTTACTGTCAACTCAGCTGTTAAAACGTGAGTAAGATACACACATCTCTTAACAGATCTATACCAAAGCAACAAATTCTTGCTCCTTTCCAGTGTTAAGTTAAGGTCATCTTGCCTAACAAACCATTTCATATAGAGTCTCTCAAAAGTCTACTCTGCAGGCAATGGCAGATAACAGACAGCTGAATGACTGAATACTCTAGGTCATCCAAAAAATTAGATCAAAGAGTCCCTGTAGTCTATTGAAATGCAATTGCTTCCAAATCACATTGTGGTGTTCCAGGCTTGAAAGAATGGGTCACTGCAGTTTTATTGTAGAGAAGCTATTGCTAATGAAAGGAACAATGGAAAGATTAGTGCTACCAACCATATAGAAGAAACACCACTTTCGGTTTAATTGCAGTGAACAAAGCAAATAGGAAAGAAGGGCAACCAAGTGACAAAAGTAGTTGGTGCAAAGAGGATATAGAAGCTATTCAAAAGGTTCTCTTGATCAGAGCACAGTGTCCAGACTTAACATATGATTACCGAATTTGGATCACAGTAAAAAATGACGTGGTTGTCATTACAGACAGCTGACGACACTATTTTAAGAAGGCAGCCTTGCAAACTGAAAGACTAAGAATACTGTTGATAATTTGCCTAGGATTCATTAGAGGCTCTGAAATTAACAAATGGATAGGGAGAAAGGAACAGTTATACTTTGTGATACCTGCTCTGCAGGAGATTATTATAAGTAAAGGTTTACTTCATTTACCAGTTTAAAAATAACAATTTGAGGCGAAATACATGGAACCTTGGAACTGATTAAAGAAAGTGAGAGATTCTAGTTGGTGATAATCTAGGTACTGAAAAAGGTTCTGCCACAGTAAATTTGTTCATGCCACAATATTTATTCTCTTTTGATCAGTTGCTGGATCTTTTCTAAGTGAAGCTTACCAGTCATAACAATCTCAATGTCGAGACAGTGGTAAGAGATCCATTTCAGTCTCAGTTAAGATCACCACATTCTGTTTCTCTGTGACCTGAGGCAGACTTGAACCTTCCTTCTCGAGACAAGACTTGACAAGCCCAGCTCCACTTAGCTCACAAAGCATGTTAAAAAACAATACATGACCAAACAGGGGAGATCACTCAAACTGTAACTGTTGTGTGTAGGTAGAGTACTTCTCTTCGAGGAAAGACAAATACTGCAACAGGGTTTTTTCTGAATAAACATGGTAAAAGCTAGCAGTTGTAAAATGAAGCTTCCACAGAAACAACCAAGCACATCCGATGTTAACAGCTCAGCACTATAAACACAACTTAAAAAAAAAAAAACCAAAACAAAAGAAAGCTTCATTCCAGTTACTGGCACCTGCTCCAAAGTCACATTTGCAACTGTTCAAATGAACTATAAGACTCAATTCCTCTCACTTGCTGAGGAAAAAAAGTAGTGCATTCAAACCATAATCCAGACTACTTCAACCAGTTATCAGTATTCAACAGCCCTTCCTAATAAGCCGCCCTCTTCTCAAGTCACTGACTACTGTTTCAAAGGAAACACTGGGCGTCTCAAGTGCTCCTTTTTTTGGTCCCGTCACACAGTTTAATAGCTCTTACGGACAAGTACCTTTGCAAAACAGATTTCTAGAGGGTGACCCAACATATCCTCTGGACCTTAGTCAACCACAAAGCACAGATAGCTTCATATACCTAACACTTAAATGTCTCTGCTTTAATCTCATTCATAGGAGATTGCTTTGCAAGTGCAAGGGCTTAAACCTAAAAAAGATCAATGGCTATTAATTCTGTAGATGATTCTTCTGAATTACAAGACCAAAGACTTCTCTGCAGGCAATGAGCACTGTCAAATGTATTTTGAAAGAAATCATTTGCGAGTAATAATTTTTCATGGACTTGGATGACAGCCATAAATGGGAAATATGCAATGATAATATTTAACACATTCATAAGAGATCAACTAATCAAGACTTCTAAACCTGGAATTGTAAAAGGAAATGAAGCAAAATTGGTTCATAACTCCTGCTGAGCTAGGAAATTCACCCCTCCTTAAAGTAGTCGACAAACCTAGGTGTAATATTTTTTTCTAACAAGCTCATGGATTGATTTTTTTTTTTTCCTTTATTCATGTTAGTTCACAAAGGCAGGAAAAGCAAGTACTTAAGTTCATACATTTTCCTTGCTCTATCACAAACTATAACAAATGAAGTTTACTATGGGATAATTACTAAGACTACCAGCCAGTCTTCTGGTTTGGTTTTGTTTTGTTTTTTTTTTTTCCTGAAAGACTGTGATGAAAACATACAAAGAGTGTGATGCAGTTCATTGGCTATAACTAAACTTCTGTTAAGTGCAATAGCAACTAGTGGTATTAGGAAAATCATCAAATGGTGTATGGTATCCTGAATATTATATGAATTACATACCTTCAGCTGCTATTCCATGTATGAAAATACTTTTAATGCTGATTTATTTTAAATAAACACTTACCAAGCCTACACATGTAGATATTGCTACCGAAGAGGTGCTATCATTCCTTATAAATCCCTGGTAGAAACACTGCTCAATTTCATGTTCCTGAGAATTTGAGACTCCATCTTTCCCGAGTACCTGGACAATAAAACTGTTGCTTAAAATGGTCGAAGGTTTAAGTTCTAAGTGAAGTTCCTGTCCAAATGCTGAAAATTTGTAGTGCAAGGAACTCTTTGAACTCTGAGTTGATCTCTTTCTCCTAGTACTGTGCAAAACATCATGTGAAATGTACGATCCACTGGAATCCACTCTGACAGGTGTCACAAATACATAATCTGTAACGACAGAAAGTTAGCCATCAGCTTTTGTATCCAACAAATAAGGTAAGTGTCATTCTAACATGGTAAACATCAGGCTTTCACTATGGCATGAAGCATTCCATCATTTAGGGAATGGCCTGAAGGCTCTGCAGGCTGTATGTGTATAGTCTTGACTGCATAAATTCACCCCTGTAAGTCACACAGGCTCTCAAACTGTGTTTGTTTCCTTTCTGCCCCACTGAGAGTACAGACTAACTAGCATAGCTGTGAACATTCCCACAATCGCTCTTCTGAAGACATTTGTCATCACCAGCAGATCTGTAGATTTTCCCCTCCCCCTGTATTAATTGCTGTCAAATGTGAAGGCCGCTCTGGTTTGAGAGCTTTTTTCCTCCCCTAAGCATGCAGCAAATATTATATCACTGTAGGGGTAACCATGACTGAGACTTTGTAGAACTGTACCACTTGTTCAAATGGATTAAAGGATTAATTTATTAATGCCCTAACTGAGTGAGACCTCATCTCTTTGTAGTGACTTGATTAGACTGGGTTTCAAATTGTAACTGACCTTCAGCAGAAAGAGATTACATCCTACCTAATAACCTTTAGTCAGCCATTGCTAATTGCATGTCAAAGAAGTTTATTGTTTTGGATACAATATGTGAAAAATTACAAAACTATTTGTGAGAAGAAGACCAAGACCTACTCACAACCATGTAAGAAAGGAAAAACTAGAGGCCACGATTCAGCTAGCTGTATAAGCAGGTGCCTAGCTTGAAGTACATTACCATTGCTGTTGATCTAGCCATGCAGGGATTACTTGTATCCTGGAAGCTGGGTCTGAATTTTAAGTGTTTGCTGAACTAGGACCTTTGTACCTATTGCTGGTTGTATGAGTAATTATGCTGAATAAACTCTTCCCAACCCCATTTCATTTTTGAGCTGTATTTCTCTGTGAATATGCCCAGGCATTTGACAGTATAACAATTGATTTCTCTTCCTGAATTGAAACAACACTGTCAAAAAAGAAGAAAAGCCCCTCCTTCCTGTGTTGTAACAGATGTTGCAAAAACTATCAATCTCTTTGCTTGAATAAACTTTATTGGACACACATTAGGCTGAAAACATAACCAGTGGTAGGTTGTTTTTCCTTAGACAGTGGAAACAATACATCAAGAACTTTCACTTTCCTCGAGTGGTGTTAATCAATGGCAGAACTTGAGGACGCTAAGCAGGCTGGTGGCCAAAAAATGCAAGCAGCTGCTGGAGAGAGGGAATCCCCCAGTGAGGAGATGATATGGTGCAAGAGGGTTATTCCTTTCTGCACCCTGGTGTGGTTCTCTATTGTACTTTGTTTCCACTCGCACCCAATAAAAAGCATACACTGCACTTCAAACTTCCCAGAGTCATCAGCATCTACGTGTTAGACTCTGCAACTTGGGAACAAACAGCTCCTAAGCTCTCACTCACACGAGTCCTTTCTCTCCAGGTTTGTTTTCCCTTAGTCTGCACTGCACAGCTTCTTCCGCTCTCCCACCCAAATCTTTTCATTACTTTTGTCTCATTGCTTCCACCACAAACACATGAGGTTCTGTTGTTGTGGCTGCACACACACATTCATCTTCCTAATCGCACATGTAAACGTGGATATATTTACCATCTCATTCATTTGCTTTGCTGTTACATATTGTTCCTCTTAGCTTTTGCGCACAGGGTTTAACAAGTTAATCTCTGCCCATGGTTAGCTATTTTACAGCAGCCAACTGGCTTTCACTTTATGTTCCCCAAACACTGTGGCTTCTTCCCTTTAAATGCTCAATCCACTAAAAAAAAAAAAAAAAAAAAGCATCCATGCAAATGTTCATATACACAGACACAGAAAGAGCTATACAAACCATGATTCAATTCACTGATGCTGTCACTGGTTAAAGTTGCTGCATGAGACAGGCAGCACAGCTGAAGGGTCTGCAAGAGAAAAAAATAAAAAAGAGAGAGAGAAAAGGAGTATTGGGCGAGATTTACTTGACAAGGGAAGGCAGAAAGACAAGGCACCAGAAACTGTGCAGTAACCTGGTATGAAAGTACACTAGGCGACTGCAAAAGAAAGTGCTCTCGACCTGCCTTTATAGTGCTTCCAAGCCACGGGAGAGCCGGGAATTGCATGGAGCTGCCGCCGAGAACCGCAACAGGTAAAGTCCAGACGACCAGCAGGAGACAGTCCATGTTCCGCCGCGCACCTGGCGTGCTACCTGCTCCCCGAAGCGTGCGGCGGGCGCGCCCGGATCCCCCGCATGGTCACCT